TGCGGGGCCGCGCAGCGCGGTGAGGGCGCGCGCGGGCGGGCGGGGGCGCAGCCGGCACCATGTCCATGCTGCCCACCTTCGGCTTCACGCAGGAGCAAGTGGCCTGCGTGTGCGAGGTACTGCAGCAGGGCGGCAACATCGAGCGGCTGGGCCGCTTCCTGTGGTCGCTGCCCGCCTGCGAGCACCTCCACAAGAATGAAAGCGTACTCAAGGCCAAGGCCGTGGTGGCCTTCCACCGCGGCAACTTCCGCGAGCTCTACAAGATCCTGGAGAGCCACCAGTTTTCGCCGCACAACCACGCCAAGCTGCAGCAGCTGTGGCTCAAGGCGCACTACATCGAGGCGGAGAAGCTGCGCGGCCGGCCCCTGGGCGCTGTGGGCAAATACCGCGTGCGCCGCAAGTTCCCGCTGCCTCGCTCCATCTGGGACGGCGAGGAGACCAGCTACTGCTTCAAGGAAAAGAGTCGCAGTGTTCTGCGCGAGTGGTACGCGCACAACCCCTACCCTTCACCCCGCGAGAAGCGCGAGCTGGCCGAGGCCACGGGCCTCACCACCACGCAGGTCAGCAACTGGTTTAAGAACCGGCGGCAGCGCGACCGGGCGGCCGAGGCCAAAGAAAGGTACGAGTAAGTAGAACTTTGGCGCCGGCTCCACTGGGCCCGAGGGAGGGGGTCCCGGGGCGTTTGCCCAACCCCGGAAGAGGCCTAAACCGGCCTTACCCTGATGGCGCTGAGGTTATGCCGGAGACTGGGCGAGCAGGAATTTGTCCAAAGCGGGCAAGGTAATCAAGAAGTTGTCAGCTACTCCCTGGTTGCTTGTGGACAAACAACGAGTTTTAGGGCCAAGACAGGACAGTGGACCTGGATCCCCTGCGAGGGGGACACGGTGGGCAGGGCCTGGTCCACCACCAAAGGACGGAGGAGTTTTTATCTAGGACGTAGCGGTCTTGCAGATTTCAGGCTGGCAGTGCGAATTCACCAGCGCTTCCCCCTCATCCTTTCTCAGCTCCAGACCAAAGGGAGATTAAGGGTCAGGACTGGGACTGGAACTTCTTTGATATGACCTGGTTGGGAAGAGACCTGAACAAGAATTTTCCTTGCCCAGATACGGGAGTTAAGAGAGCGAGTTCTTGATCCCGCATAGAAGGAATCAGGAGGCAAAACACTCTAGGGGAGGAAGTGTCAGCCCTGAGAAACAGAGAGAGAAGTAGATGCCCCCATTTTCTGCCTTGCTGGACCCAGCAGCCCTTCTTCCCTGGCTAGCCGGGCCTTAACCCCTCTACTCAGTTAGTTCTGTGGGACTCCCGCTTTCTGGGATGCGCCAAGAGCAGCAGAAGGGCTGGCAGTTGGATGTCCTCAGGGAAACCAAGACTTCCGGAAATGGCATAAGGGTTGACCAGTAGGCCCTACCGGGTGCCTGCCCTGTGACCCCTCAGAACCCCAAATCTAGAGGGAAGAATGGGAGAAAAACTGACTGTGGAAACAGAATCGAGCCTGAAGGGAACAGCAAAACAGGACAGCTGGGGTCGGTGGTGTGGGGCGTGTGCAGACCAGTGTCTGGATGGTAGGGGTCAGAGATGGGGGGCGGTGAACAACGGGAGCAGATCTCTCCAGCCAGCAAGAGGGGGGACCCGAATCTCTGAGACCATAAGGATGGGGTATCCGCAGTGGGAAGGGCCCCGGCAACTAGCCGTGCAGAAACTCTCCTGGAGGGAAAGTAGGAAGAAAACGCCTCTCGAAAAGTCGGTGTAAGAAAAAATTAACGCAGGATTTCAAATCGCCAACTCCGGCCAGGCTCTGTCAGTCCAAGGCAGGGCAGGAACTCAGCTCTCTCGGCTGGTGCCCCCACTCCACCCAGACTGGCATGCTTCCAGACTCCTGAAAACTGGGTTCTGAGGCCAGGCCCCAGGTGAGGGTTGCAGCACTCCTGAGTTTCTGGTTATGGCAGAAAAGTTTAGGCCAGGATTAGCAATCCCTTCCCTTCTCCGGGGGCCTGCCCTCCCAGCCTCCAACTCCTGGCCCCCAGCTGAAGTTTCCACCTCCATCCTTGGGATCTTGTCCCTAGGCCCAGCAAGGAGAGCTCTCAAACAGCCTGTCAGGCGCCGGCTGGAGCAAAAGAGCTCTTAGTCCCAGGAACCTGCCACGGGTTTCCCTTCCGCAGTACAGAACAAAGATTCCCAATCCTGGGTCCCTCGGCCCGGGACCAAAGTCCTTCACCTTCCTGGCACCACTTCCACACAGCGAACCCAGCCTGAGGATCTGACAGGGGTCTGAAAATTCAGGCATCGTCTCTCCCTCTTTGCTACCCCTAACTCCACTGGAACTGGGCCCCGCTCCCCTGCCCTCCGCTCCCGGAGTTGAGTTAGAAAGAAATTAGAAGCACACGCGCACACGCGCACACGCACACACACCCAGAGAAGACATAGAGAGAGTGGGAAAGACATTCATGACAGCATGAGAAGTGGAGAGATACAGATAGAGGGGGAGGGACAAGAAGGAGCAATCAAGTGTTGAGAGAACTGGCAGAAAGAGCCGGAGGCCAGGCGGTAGCCGGCGGAGGAAATCGTAGAAACCGAAAACACCCGCAGGCAGCACGGGGAGACTGTCAGAGGCAGGCGGCAGGCTCTGGCCCCGGGTGATGCAGCGCTGAGCGTCCTCGATTTCCCCTCACCCGGCTGCTTTGCCCCCGCACTTGCAGGGAGAACAGCGAGAACTCCAACTCCAACAGCCACAATCCACTGGCTTCGTCCCTGAACGGCAGCGGCAAGTCGGTGCTAGGCAGCTCGGAGGACGAGAAGACGCCGTCGGGAACCCCAGATCACTCGTCGTCCAGCCCCGCGCTGCTGCTCAGCCCGCCGCCGCCACCTGGGCTGCCGTCCCTGCACAGCCTAGGCCACCCTCCGGGCCCCAGCGCCGTGCCGGTGCCCGTGCCGGGCGGAGGCGGCGCGGATCCACTGCAGCACCACCACGGCCTGCAGGACTCCATCCTCAACCCGATGTCGGCCAACCTCGTGGACCTGGGCTCCTAGAGCCCCGCCCGCCTCAAAGCGCTTGCCCTCGGGGCTTGAGTCTGCAAAACTGAGAGAGGCCGTGTCCGAAGGGCGCCGGCGCCGGCAGCCCCACCAGGTACTGAAGAACCCGCACGCCGAATGGGCAAGCCGCCGGCCCGGGCCGGGGCAGATGGCAGGCTGGTTTGGTCCTTGTTCGGGAGTTACATTCAACAAGTTGGTTTTTGAGATCCTTTGGCGGATGAGGCTAGGTGTTGAACCAGGGAGAGAATAAATTATACACCATTGTCATTCTCTCTCTCTCTCTCTACCTTCTCTTGTCCTGCCTCCTCCTCTCTTCTCCCCTTCTCTCTCCTCCCCTCCCCTTCCCTTCTCTTTCCTTCTCTCTCTCCCCTTCTTGCTTTCTTTCCCCTTTTTCTCTGTTTCGCTCTAGATTTCTGACTGCCCACCTCTTACTAGATTTGTATTTCTGTTTCTTTCTCCTCTCCGCCAGCCTCTGCACTCTGTATCCGACCCCCTCGGTCTGTACCCTTCCGTTTTTCTCTCGGTGTCTGGCGGTCTGTTTGCTCCCTACGCCCTCCCTCGCTCTCCCGGGTCGGGGTGGGAGCGGGAAGAGCTGAACAAGGCAGAGCCTTTGAACCCAAACCGTCTCCAGCGGTCCTCCTTCGGGGTCAGCGGAGGCCGCAGGTGTCAGCTTTGCGCCTAGTAACTTAAGTGAAAGAGAAAAGGCGGCGCCGCGGAAGCCCGGGAGCGCCTCCTCGCCCCTCGCCCCTCTCTCTCGGCGAGGCCCCGCCATGCTGCTCGCTCCTCTTCCTCCCGGGACTGAGGCCACAGCGCGCCCCGCGCAGCGCGCCCCGGAGCCGCGGACTTGCCGTCTCCTTGTTATGCTCTCACGTGAATGTTCTTCGGAAAATATTTCTGCTTTTATTTTATAATAAAATTAGAAATCATAAATATATATATGGATATATGCCACAAGGCTCGCGGGCCAGGAATGCAGCAGGGTCTGATTTCCCTACAGGGACTTGACACCCCAGGTGGGCTATTCTGGGTATCCATGTCCCCGTGAGTCCCCCAGATTGGGAGACACCCTCTCATACACACAGTACGGATTAGTCGCAGGGAAGGGATTGCAAACTCTGAAACTTTCTCCCCCAAAGCCCTCTGTCCCTTTCTCCTTGTCTATGAAGCTCCCTGCAGAAGCAGGGATAGGTGATCTGCTCTTCTTGGGGACTTCTCCCCCCACCAGCTACTGCGCAGCGCCTTCGGCCCGCTCCTTCTTCACCTGGAGGTGGGGTGCGGGGCGGTTTGGGATAAGAGGCTGTGTGCGGGGCGCGGGTACGTGTGTTTGAACTTGTCGAGGCTGGGGAAAAATCGAGTCTTGGAAATTTCCTGACGGGCCAACTCTTCGGCTAGGGCCGAAGACCCCCTGGAGCCGGGTGAGACGCCCTGGGCAGATCCGCTTGCCCCAGGGATGAGGTGCAGAGGTGTGCAACCCCGGAAGTGCGTGGGCTGTGGAGCATAGGTCTGTAAGCTCGGAAATCTGCACCCGGTGTTTCTGTAGATTTGGAAGAGAGCTGAAGGGGTGGGGTGGGGAGTCAGAGGAGAGTCCAGGAGGCCCGGGCGAGCGTGCGCGTGCGTGTTCTAGATGGGAACAAGCGGGCGCCGCC